CGTGACAGCAGTGACGAAATGTAGAACACAAACGGGCTCAGTATAACGAATACGCTCTTCTATAAGATCTAATGTTTGTTACTGGGTACTGATAGTCATTGTAATGACGATCACCTTGATTGATAAGAAGCCGCAGAGTCTCCTGTCAACCTTCTACCCCTTCCTCAGCGTCTCGAGCACTAGACATTTACAACATGTTAAAAAGGCCCTCAAAGCCCAGAAAGCAAGTCATTTCCCCTTTATCCGTATCACATTCCTGCCATTCGTACCTGCTACCCACACACCAAATATCCACCTTCCCGCCCGCCTCTCCTACTTGCGCAATCTCATCTCCCAATCTTCCACTCTTCCATTCATCCGCTCCACCTCGCCCTACATCCCCATATCTGCATCCAGCAACCAGACTCTCTACAACACCAGCGCGCATCCGTTCCTGCTATGTAGTTTAAAGGACCGAACGAGCGTCATGGTCCACGCGGTATGGTCCCAGCAGGATGCGCCTGTTACCAACGCGCCAGTACGCATGGAAGCATCACCGTGGATTGGAGGGTATGTCGTGATCTGATAAGGCGCTCTACTCATCCAACGCTTCTATATCTCTTCATGCGGGCTGTTCTGGCCTTTCAGCTTCCGCGAGGGGGAGTTGCGTTGATGATACTCGTACAGATTTCTTCTTTGTACCTGCCAAAAAAGCATTCCGACCGAGGCCGATACCGTATTGGCGGGATCGATCTTCAACTTCCTCCGACGCGGGGCTGCTTCAGTCCTTGTCTTCCTGGTGTAAATACTTCTCTACTCGCCATCACTTTCCTCACGTAGACCTTCCTCCTGCTTCGGCAATACCTCGAACGATACCGGAATCCGCCACCCTCATCCGTCGCCACCCCGATCAACCCCATCAATCCGCTCGCCATCCTTCCCCTTTTCACCCTCGTGAACCCCCCAAGCCTTCCTCAACTTCCCGCCTCTGTGTGAAAACCGAAAGCGACGCCCTCGATACCCAACTTGCCCGCTTTAACGCAGCAGCGGACCCGTTCACGGTTGTATGCGGACGTCTGGTTCTGGCTCAGGCTCGCGGCGCCGAAGAGAGGGGAGCGATGAGCTGGTTGAGGAGGCTACTGTGTGGCGGTGAAGGGGTTACGCGTCTTTGGGGGGCGAGGGAGAGAGGGAGGGAAGGTTTGCGGTGGTGAGGGGGGTTGGGGTTGAGGGGAGTGGGTGGTGGATTGGGAAGTGGAGGGTGGATATTGGTATGAAATGAGGTGAAATCGTTGTGAATTTGGTATTCGAGTTGCCATGAGAAGATCGGGCCATTATCGTCAGGTAAGGGTTGTCTGCGATTGCTTTGACTCGGTCCAGCTCTCTAGCTGCCCGCCCGAGGGCAAGTGAGCAGGCACCTCGGGAGGGGAGTCTGTGATGAATCGCTGTCCGACTCAGGGATTGGTGGCTTTGCCTGTATACCTCCAGCTATGATCTTCGTCACGATAAATGCCGAATTACTGACCTCGCAGCTCGAGACGTGCGGAGACGAGACTGGTCCTGCGTTCGAACATTCCGAATTCACGAAGATTTCAGGCTAGAGAGCAAGAGGCTACTTCTCGTGAAGGAAACTAGATATTTTGGGTCTTTAATGGTATGAACCCTTCGGTACTTCGGTTCCTGTGCTTATGTTTTGCATTGCTGTTACTTACACCTCATCATCATTGTCCTCATCATCACCACGACCTGACCGTCAATTATCTCTCGAAATGACGAGAGCAGGCCGCGTGCTTAAGCCTAAGATGGCGGTACCATACGTGAGATCACAGCAGGAAAACGAGCGTGATACAGCAACGACCGAGAACGCGAAAGCAGAGAGCTCTTCATCAGTGCCGAAGGAAGAAGAAGAAGAAGAAAAACGATCCAGCCAGGACCTTTGTTCCAGCAAGAGTATCTCGGACCGACAGAACGGAGCAGAACCACGACCCAAGCAGGGTACTGAAGATTCCAAGGCCGTCAAGGCAGAGAGCTCTTCATCCGGGACGAAAGAAGGGGAAGCCAGCAGGCCTCCTAGATCCGAGAAAGTCTCGGCTGGCTGGTCGTCGGAGCAGGCGAGAGACTGGGATCGGGTTGTCATGGGAGTAGCATTGAATTAGTAAGGGATTCTTGGCAAGCAGATATTTTCGCAGTAGTATTTGATAGAAAATGAATCATTCAACACTCAAGCACCGATTCCTATGATGTTTGGTGGCAACTGCTGCTATGCTACCACGGTACGAACCAAATAACCGTTCGCCTGTGTTAATAAACAGGCCTCTGTGGTTGAGATTGTGGTGCGGTCTGTGAGGTAGTTGTTGGTAGATTTATGGGTAGGGAGGCAGTAGGGTATAGAGAGTAGACGAATTTATGGGATAGGATATGGGTAGAATTGAATGAGATGGGTTTAATGTGTCGGTCTGGTATCGGACCTTCGAAACGTCCTAGACAGTCCTCAGGCAAATAGCTAATACGGCTGGAGTAAAAGCGGTCTCCTCGAGCCTTTCCATCTGAACATTTCACCCATAACCACGTGTTGCACATGCAATCTTCGGTTCAGAGACAGACAACTCCTGTATAGAGCAGTAGACTAGCAATGAAATCTTTGGCACGAAGACCGGGTTCTCCGATGGGGCGTGAATCGTATTTCGGATACCTAGATGTTAGTTCTCGTACAGTACAATGAGTGCACTGGTGTTGGTTGACAGATGAATGTTATTACCTCTGGACCCGAGATTTTGTATATCCTCCAATCCACCTCGGAGTCACGAACCTTTCTCTCTGCAAGAACCAAGAAATCGGACTGAACACCTCAGCTAAAGAGAAACAGAACACACCGAAAGTGGACAAGGAACTCAAAGTCGAGTGAGACATTGAAGCGCCCAACGCTTCTCCAATCTCGTCAACGACGAAACAACGAGAAGCCAGCCAGTACGTCAATATCCGGACAGCTCTGCCAGAGCGCTGAGCGAATAGAACAAGAATGCTCAAAATCCAACACGACACTGAGATATACAAAGTCGGCAACCCTGCGAGCTCCTCTTCAACGACGATGAAACAAAGATGAGACCAAAGAAGAACTTAAAGAAGCCTCGTCAGTCGTCCGGTCAACCCTAAAAAAATCTTCTGGACTGTCAACCTCCTACGCTTTTGAGTACTCCTCGCTGCTCGGCAAATACCGCGCCACAGCCATCGCTGCCACAGCTATCGCTACCAAGAAGCGTTAAGCCCAATACGGCTACCAAAGACGACGGAGCTCGCTGCTACGGTAGGGTAAGCGACTGTCAACACGACGCCGCCTTCTCTTGTCATCATACCAGAAGACCATCGTCTTTATTATGATCTTGCTGCAGACCTATCAAAGGAGCAGCTGGTAGCGTCCCTGCATACGTTCGCCAGGGGAGAAATGCGAGTCTCCTATGTGCTGGGGTAATTGAAGGAATATGGGATGATGGTGGCGGAGGATGTGTGGAGTGTTGAGTAAACCAGCGGCGTAGAGCATTGAGAGAACGAGAAAGCAGATGGAGTGCGTAGATTTTGCGTATATGTCCTCTAACAATCGAATTGGCTGATGAATGAATACTTGATGCTTACATTCAACGTCGAGATGCTCTTTTTTCTTGTTCTTCTTGACATCACGGCCCCAGCTAGCAAGTGGGTCATCTGGTGTCGAAGCCTCCTTCTGTGCTTCCTCGGTCTTTGACCCTTCCAGCGTGTCCTTTCCCTCTCCTGTTTCAGCCCAGGTGTATGGGGAGCAGGATAATCTTTAGTGTAGGTCTAGCGAATGAAGCGGACGAAGGTAGCCTCATCTATATCGTCGAAGAGGGCGAGGCAAAGGTGGCCGTTGATCGTTCGATCGAGGGTTCCGGAGCAGTCTGCTACCAAGGCGGTATTGACGTACGAGGGGTCCTCAAGACGATAAAGGTGAAAGGCTTCGAGGCAAAGAGAATACGAATATTATCAGAGGAACATTCTGCCTAATAATGATGAAATCTAACGTGCTGTCTGAGGTAGACATTTGCGAGCCTTTCGTGTGCCCAGAGAGACGTGAACGAATAGCCTTGAGAGGAAGAAGGTGGCAGGATTTTCGCGGTCTTGCCTTCATGCGGTGCAGATGTACTTCAGCGAGCATGTAGATGAAGAGGAGTTGTCCGAGACAGAAAGCAGGTGTCCCGAAGAGGGACAAAGGCTGCCCATGTTGAGGCTATTCAAAGACGCCGTTTGCCGGTAACTTTGCTGTGTCTCATTGAAGCGTGGCTGCTTAGCAAATTGTACCTTCAGTTCGTGCAATGGACCTCGAAGCTGCCAATGGTTCACATTCATAGAGTATTTGGAAGGTCCGTAGGTCTCAGTCTTGGTTGCCTCGGCGGGACTCAAAATGGATGTTCTCCGCCACTACCAATGACTGGTCTCATGCTATTATTTATCTTATGACGGCACGTTGTTCGAGCTGAGACATTCCTTTCATTAGGAAAGACTAGTCTACAGGCGGTGAATGTAGCAGCCATGTCCTCTAGGCATATTGCGTGGTCGGCAGAAAGACAAAGCTGATATGGCTCTTCAATTAGGTATATGAGATCAGAGCTTCATTCCACTCCATGATGTCCACCTAGCTAGCCATTGAACTACTTTCAAATCGCCGCAAGCCCAATACTAAGCTGGCTCCTCCGGTGTCTCGGCCACGGGCTTTGACTCGCTCAAACAACAAATTCTCGCTCTTTAGATTTCTCTTTCCCAATACCAGGCAGCGAGCACGAGCGCGGCTTGAAGCTTTCAGATACGAGACTCTTCCTTCCTACAAATTACGGGCTCAGTCACGCATATACCGGTTCATCCTTAAACGTCAGGCGAGTCGTCGGCAGAGAAAGGCAGCAGGCAAGGGTATCCTCTGGAGGCTTGGAGGCCGGAGAAGGATTTCTGGTATATTTGGGACGAAAGATGCGCGGTCCTCACCGATCCCCGCAATAACCAGCTCAGGTCACTCTACGATGGAAAGCGGATATACATCGGCACCCGAGAGGGGCGCCAGACGGCGGAAGCTCGCAGGATACCTCAAGGCTGCCAACGAGCTTCGACAATCCTATCAGCAATCCTACGGATTGGGATCGCAAAGAGATGGGAGTGCAGACGAGGACCGCAACTCTATACCTGGAGCCTTTCCAGACGCTACGGTTTCTCGGAATGGAGACGAGGAGATGCTGCTCTTCCCAAGCTACACGGTACGGCACTCTGTACGCAAAGGTCAACAGCGTGATGTTCCTGGGGCTACTCAGGATATCCGCAGCAACAAGGGAACCGGAGACGCAGAGTATTGGCAGAGGCAGTGGGAGAAATACGAAGACCAAAATGCTGTGGTAGATGTGGATGTCAGAGGATGGGTCTACGCTCCTCACCGAGGGCAGATGACTAGAAAGAACAGGCTTTTGGTGGGTATTGCACGGCAGCTCAGTGGAATACCTGCTCCTTCAAGCAGCAGAGCGTCGAGTCCAAACTCTTCCCATCATGCTAGGGTGGAGGCTCGGAAAGCTAGGCAAGAGGAGGAAATGGCGGAGAAGGAAGCTGAATCGATAACCCGGAAAGGCCAAGGGGAGGCAGATATCGCGTGGCGTGGTGGATATAGTGAAGCACCAGGTCGTGATGAGGACGATACCAAAGAGTCCAGTAAATCTAGCTCGCCCGATCATAGCCGGCCAGCTTCACCAGAACAGCGAAATACCCGAGCCAGTGAAATGGCTCGTCCTATCTCCAACAGCTCTCTACGTGGCGAACAGTACGATTCTGGAACCAAGACCTTTTCCAATCGAACATCCTGGAGTCACCCGTCAGAGATGACCTCTGCCGAGCTTAACGCTGCCAACGCACACATGATGGTCAGACTAAAGCCCTTTCTGAGTACCCCCTTGGTCAGCACAACCCTTACCGTCTTCTTCTACAACGACTCGAATTCAAGGTCTCATACGATTACGACTAATGAGGCTGGACACTTTTCGCTGCGCGCTGCTTTGGACTTTGTTCCTACCAACGTGCGAGTCCTCGCCTCGGACAAGCTGTCAGCCACCGAAGAAGTCCACATTTCAGAGCCTACTGGTATTAGCATGATAAGCGATATCGATGATACCATCAAACACTCTGGAATTGGCAATGGAGCTAGGGAGATCTTTCGAAACGCTTTCATCCGAGATCTCAAAGATCTTACGATCGATGGAGTTAAGGAATGGTATTCCACACTGGCCGACCTTGATGTGAAATTCCACTACGTGTCGAACTCCCCGTGGCAGCTCTATCCTGTCTTGGTGAGCTACTTCGCTCAGGCTGGATTGCCGAAAGGCTCCTTCCATTTGAAGCAATATACTGGTATGCTTCAAGGCATCTTTGAGCCTGTTGCCGAGCGCAAGAAAGGCACCCTAGAGAGGATCCTGTCAGACTTCCCGGAAAGGCGCTTCATTCTTGCAGGAGACAGCGGAGAGGCAGATCTTGAGCTATATACAGATATTGTGCTAGCAAACCCAGGCAGGGTACTGGGCGTCTTCATTCGGGATGTCACCACTAGCAAGCCTCCGGCCTTTTTCGATTCCTCGATGAAGTCAATGAGATCACGTGGATCTCAATCACCTTTGCGAGGTAGAAGCAAAGACGATAGCGGCATTCCACTCAAAAAACAGTCGGGCGAGAAGCCGCCTGCGCTGCCACCGAGACAGGCAAGTCATTCAACAAACACCCACTCATCAGAAAACAGCGGCGGACCTATCATGGGTACACTGATTGATTTTGACGACGAACCGACCCCAGGAATTCATCACTCAATGACCGACCCCGCAGTATCAGAAGCAGAGAGGAAGCTGTCAACAACCTCCAATAAATCGCTTCCACCGTCCCGTCCCTCAAAGCCAAAAGCACTACGCTCAACGTCAGGCGCAGAACAGCCATCATCCTCCACTCCACCTCCACAGTCCGTACCCCGAAAACCAGCACCACCACCACCAAACCCAAAACCCCGCCAATATTCCAACCCCCAAGAAAATCCCAGTCAACCAAACGAGCCCTCACCTCTTTCCCAGACGCAAAATGTCTCCCCTCCAGGCAGCAGAGCCTCTTCTCTCGAACGCCAATCCTACCGCTCCGCCGTTCGCAACAAAGTCACCTCCGCCTACAACGCCCTCCCCTCCCTCTACAGCACCTCCCCCTACGCCCAACAACCACCCACCTCCGACCCAGCAAAACCACAGTCTAGCTCCCGCCCGCCCCCTCCAGTCCCTCCCCGCAGAAACTTAACCAGCTATCCTGCAGCCGCAGCCCACTACGCCACTAACCGCCTCAGCGGTGGCTGGAGCGGGTACAGTAATGATGGTAGTAGTGGCGGTGGCGGTGGGAGCTCGGATGACGCGAATGGGAATGAGCAGGTGTTGAGCAAGAAAGAGGAAATGTGGATGAGGAGGTGGGCGAGGGCGAAGGAGATTTTTGACGAGAAGGGCGTTGTGTTGAGGGCGTGGAGGGTTGGTGAGGACGTAGCGGACGAGGCTGTCAGGCTGGTTGAGGGGGCGAGGAAGAAGATGGAGAAGCGGGGGTGAACGCTTCTATGTACATATGATGCGTACGCTGCAACGATAGTCCTCGGCGTCCGTGTCTCTATCTGTCTGCTCTTCTTGATCGAGGGAAAAGGCATATAACAATAGCGTTGGCGTCTCATAGAAAAAGAAGAAAGAATGTACATGTAAATGTAAATAAAATCTTGATATCCATCACAGGAACCCGTGAAGGAAAGACCAATTGCTCTGACTGTTTGAAAGATTTGAAGCCGGTTGAAGTGGAAGGGAAGGAAAGAGAGGTAGGTGGTGCTGGCGATGGCTGGACGGGATTGATACTTACTCAGTCGCGTGGTAGAGTAGCGGAGCCGACACTGCTCTTACTCGTCTATTGCGTTTCCAATCCAATAAATATCGACTTCACTACAAGGATATGATCCGATGTTACGAAGATTGTAAGCCAACTGGCGAGTACTCTACATTGGCACCGGAGAGCTTTTTCAAGCAGATGATGGGCGAACGGATTTCGGAGACAGGGAGATGGGAAAGCAGAAACTTTTTGTCATTATTTTAGTCATAATCATCACAGTTCGTAAGATTGTCTTCGTCTTCATGATGTTCATCATATCATCATCGTCTCTTCCCAGTCATCATCAATCATTCCTTCCGCGTCCACTCCTCGTACAACGCCTTCCCCCTCTCCTTTACCTCCTCATCATCCGGATGCCTCCTCCCCTCCTCAAACACATCCAGCAAATCTTGCTGCAACAAATGCCGCTTATGCGCCGTATGTCGCAAATGCTCGAAATCGTCATCCTCGCACGCTTCATTGAAAACAGTTCGCATGCGGGATGAATAGAGGTGGCAGCTGGCTCCTTGATCGACTTTGTGTGGCGACTGGTCGATGGCGCGGGCAATGGAGGAGCCGTCGGTCACGGCGGGGAGGACGACGTCAGTGTAGCAAGAGGGGCAGATTGTGAATTCCGGGATGTGCGGGTGGATGTGCCAGGGGAGATTGCGGAGCATTTGATCGCGGGGACATTTGGGAACGATTTGGTTACTTGAGGATTTAGGTGGCGTTCGCGTTTTGGGAGATTCGGGCTCCTGTGTGAGCTTTTTGACCAGTCGTGCGAGTGGAGCGGTGTTGGGCTCTTTGTGGGATCTGCGGGCTTCAGCGGCTACTTGGTCGAGTACATCGATGTATTGAACAAAGTTGTGGCCGTCAGATCGCAGAGAGCAGACTCGTTCTTTGGCTTCACCGTGGTGGCCCCTAGATACGTAGAAGACTTCTTCGAGGACCGGGAAGATACTCTCAAGGCTGTAGACGCAGTGCTGGCAGACGTTGAAGTCCGGAATATGTTTACTGGTTTGATCGTCTTCGAGCCGGTACCAATGGTGGCGAGCAATTGGTCTGCCTTCCATGCACGGCCGCTGCTTTGCGGTCGTTTTAGCCAGGGCCGTAAGGAGCTCTAGATTTGGACGGTTTTCATTCATGGTCATTTGAGTCGCTAGGCGGATCCAGGGGTCGTTGAGGTCACAGATTGTCTTTTCGCCATGTGGTTCTGGAGCTCGCGGCATCAGATGATGACTGTACCGAGCACCAAAGACATTATGAAGACAGTCCGGGCAGATCGCAAAGCGAGGGCATCCGTGGAGAGTGTACCAGTCCTTGTAGCCAGCAACAGGCTGCGGCCTTGGGCACAGAGGTAGTATGACTGGCTGTTGTGGCTGTGCTACAACGGTTGAAGGAAATGGTGCCGACGGCCTTGATCTGCTATTGGACGCACTAGAAGCCGAAGCTAGAACTGATGGCCTCGAACTTGCCGCTGCAGCATAAGCCTCTGGTACATAAGAGTTCGCTCTCGATCGTTGCGGACGTTGGGGAATCTGATCAGGTTGGGAGCTTGGGACATGCGTGTTCGATCTCGCGCCGAGAGACGATTGTTCGAACTTCGCTGGCTTGTACCTATCGCTGGGCGACGAAATGCTTGGAGACGAAGGTCTCGATCGTGTTCCGGGAGAACGTGTTGACTCAGCTGGCTGCAAGTATGATGGCGTGCTTACTGTTAATTGCGGGCGAACGTCGGTGTACGAGGCCGATCGCTGACGTCCTGAAAATCCGGGTCTCAACGTCGAAGACGGAGCCAAGGCTGGGTCTGGGGCTGGAGCTGGAGCTGGGGCTGGAGCTGGAGCTGGAGCTGGAGCCGGTGCTGTGGGTGCAATAGATGTGTGCCTACTCGCTGCATACCGCGCTTCATGGATTCCATTGGAGCGGTAATCAGCACGCACCGCTGGGGATGGTGATCGAATGCTTATCCCGGGCCCAAGGATGGGTTCTGGCTCCACCATATTGGTCGGAGAAGGTAAAGGCGTCGTCATCCGTGATCTTGGGGTAGTGCGTCGGGGCCTTTCAGTCATATCTGCTTCAACCGGATGGACTCCTGTACCTGGAGTCCTAGGAGTCCTTGGCGTTGAATTGTTCGACAAGGGCGAGGGCGGCCTTGATCTTTGTATCTCGTTTTTCAGGCCAGTAACGGTGTGCGTTCGGCGATGGTGGACCTCATTTGGTGGCGTTCTAGGAGGAGAGGAGTAAGGCGACGTTGTGGGGGAACCTCTGGGTGAAGCCATTGGGGAAGGGTGTGGAGAAGGCCGAGGCGAAGCTTTTCGTGCACCAGCTATGTCGTGCTCGAGCCGGGCGTTTATGCCCAGAAGGAAGTCCCCACTCAGAAGCGATGCGCGATTAGTGGCAGGTCCTTTGTGTTCTGCGGCTGATTCAGGCGGGGTTGGTGTAGGCTGCCTAGAGCTATGTCGCTGTTGAGGGCAATCGTTGAAGTGTGGAGTCGAAGACTTGGGCGAGTCCTGTGCCGAAAGCGTGTTAGGTCCTTCATGGTGTCTGCCAGAGCCGCGGCTGGCGTCGGATTCGTCAGAGGATCCATGACGATACCCAGGCTGCAGCGGTACCGTCCTGGAAGAGAAAGGCGCTCCTGGATATGCTGGTGCCGCTGATGCATGTCTGCCCAACGGAGCCAATGGCGGGCGTGTAGGATGATGATAGCTATCGTTCCTGTGGTCTCTCTCTCTATCTTTGTACCTTTCCCTGGTGCTTTCATATGTCACGCTTCCAGTATCATAGGCTGATGCATGCCTGCCTGATGAAGCCAATGCAGGGCGGCCGGATTTCTTAGGGTCATGTTTGATTTGGTCTAAGTCTCTAGAACTGTCATCCTTTGCAATCCTTGGATCGTAATATGAATGAGATCTTTGGTTCTCCGCGTACTTTACTCTAGGACTCATGATTTCGGGAGAGAGCATGTGTTCAGCGGAAAAGCGGTCTTCCTGTGGCCTTGACGGTCGCGGTCCAGATGCATAAGGTGACCTCGCACGCTCCAAAGGGGGTGGAGCATCGCCTCTTGACTTGTCCCGTGCGAAGTCTGTGTCCAGTTTGGGAACATCCCTCCTTCCTCTCTCGTTCTGCTGAGGCACGGGTGCATGTCTTTGGGATGTCGTTGAAGGGTTCCTTGGCCCGCCATAGGTCAGTGGGATCTGATCAACATCCTCTGATTTCCGGATGCAGTGACTATCCTGACTGTCATTGACCGTGCTTAGTGGTGTTGCAGGGCCAGAACCCTCTGAGGAAGAGGTGGAAGCCAAGCTCTCTGTATCATCATCGGCATCCTTGACTATTGGTTGTTGGTCCGGGGTTCCCCGCATTTGGACTCCGTCATCCTCAACGCCGACTGGTATTGGCTTGCCTTCTTTTGATAACTCCTTTTTCAACGATGCAGATTCATCCTCTACCCTTGGGGACGGTGGCCATCTTTGTCTGGCACAGTTGGATGTGTATGGCTTGCGGAGCCTGGAAGGTGATCTCGGACGATGAGGACGAACTCTGGAGGGTGTTCTCGGAGGTGGAGGTCGAGCGCTGCGACTGCGTGCCTGAGGGTATGCCTGGGGCCTCAGCGGCGAAGGGTCCTCACCGCGACTAAAAGTTGGTATTAGCGAGAGGAGCATAACACCTAGGGAGTTGAAGTTGTCCATACTCGTTGTCCCACGTCTCGTACGACGTTGATCGATGGTAATTGCTATGGGCAGAGGCCATGCTGCTGTCCGTAAGCAAATACGAAACTGTGTTCTGCCCGAAGAAATGTACTGCCAGCTAGAATTGGCAGAGAGGAAGAGACTGTTGTTCGCAAATGGTGCCGAGGCTCACTTCTCGCTGATTGCTAACATTGGGCTGCTCGGAAGACAGAGTGAGTATTTCACGAAAACAAGAGTGGGAAGAGAGAGTCGTAATTGGCAAGGCTAGGTATGTGAGACCTGCTTTAGGTAATACGAGTAGACCAACGCATTGAACTGCAAAACATTGCCTTCCGGCTTGAATGAATCAATGAGTGTAACCCTTCTGCCTCCCCACTTCTCCAGTCTCCACAGCCGCACAATAATACGCAGAGAACGAAGCTTGAGAAAAGGCGGTGGCAGCAGGTGGGGACGTTCACTGTTGAAGGAGTTACTGCCCGGCGATCCCTTTGCAATGAATGGCTAGAATCCTCCTTAGGGAGTCTTTATAGTGGTTGTGGTGGGGATGCTGTGCATAAAGTTGCGGATAAAATTGTGTTGATTGGGGCGGTGCCTGGCGCTAGGAAACATCTTTTCATGCATTCGACGCTCCTGTGACAGTACACCACCAAAAAAATATGGCAATGCATTGATGAAGAGGCGGATTGTTTCACTATGACAGCAAAGGTCAAAATGACTGGCAATGCGTTGATTCCATCTTGTGCATCAGGGTCTTGTGCTGGATTCACTGACTCAGAGTGGCCGCCCAGGCGATGACTGCTCCATCTCTGAACCTACCCAACATCAACGATCGCCGCGTATCCTCGTTTCACGGATCTGTTGAGGTCTTCGCCCTGCATGCACCCTCATGATTTCTATTCCACTCTTGGGCTTCGACGCTTTTCGTAATGGCGTTTCGCTGTCTTCGGCGCGCACGACATCCCCAACCAGTTTCTTCGCCCTTATCCTCATTTGCGGATCCTTGACTG